TGTGCTGGGTTTGGGGGTGTCCTGGGGACTCCTGGGGACTCCTGGATGACTCTTGCATTTCCCAGGCTCTGAGTGAGCAGCGTTGCGATTCCTGCAGTCACCTTTTCTTCGTGGTGCCTGTGCCGGGATGTGCAGGAGGCCGTGCGCAGGCAGGGGAGGCGCGGGCCTGTGTTTCCACGGCCTTGCTCAGCGCCTCAGACCTGCTGCCGGGCCCTCCGAGGGTGTGAGTTGCGTTTAGCTGTTCCAGGTGGGCCTGCGCGCGCGCGCGCGCACACACACACACACACGGCGCACACGCACAGGCGCACGCACGCGGTCTCCTCCCAGAGGACGGTGCCCTCCGTGTGCTGCAGCCTGGACTCCGCAGTGGCCGTGGGCAGGAGCGCGCCCGGGCGCGGGGTCAGCACTGCTCGGCCGCGGGGCCCCGCGGTCCCGCCACCCCAAGCAGCCCGCCTCTCGGGGACGGGCGTGAGTGTGGCTGCGTGTGCCGCGTGCGTGCGGGCGAGGGGCCCCGCGGGCGCCGGGAGTGGCCGTCTGGCGCGCGCCGCCGCGGCCCGGCTGCCCTCCCGGGTCAGGGCGCGGGGTCGGGGCCGCGGCGCTGAGTGGCCGGCGAGGAGGTGACCGCGGGCCGCAGGACAGACGGGGCCGCAGGACAGACGGCGCCGGCCGCCGGGGCGCTGCTCTTCCGAACCTTGACGCGGTGCCGTCGGGGCCGACGGGGCCGCCGGGCTGCGTCACTTCCGGTTTCGCCGTCAGTCTCGTTGCCAAGGGTAACTTGGGGTCCCCGGGAACCCCCGAGGTGGCGGGGGGGCGACGGGCCCCCTGGACTAGGCTTCGCAGAGCGCGGAGCCCCCCGGGCCCTGGTCCCCGCGCGGGGCGATGGCCGCTGGGCGCCCGTGCGCTGCTCTCCCGTCCCGCGGCCGGCCGGGCCACGAGGCCCTCGTTTGAACCGGGGGCGCTGACGGCGCGGGCGGGGGCCGTGGGCACAAGGCGGCCCCGGCCCTGGGGGCCCCGCCCTCCCCGCCGGCTCGCGCCCCCCCCCCCCAGTGCGCGCGTGTGCGCGCCTCGCCCGCGGCTCCGCGCGCCCCCGGGACTCGCCGGCCGGTCACTGCCCAGAGGCCCCGGGGCCAGGTCGCCCTCGCGGGTCCGCCCAGGGCGGGCGCCCCCGGACCAGCTGCCCCGTGCGCCCTCGCCCCTGCGCCCACCTGCGCGGGGAGGCGCCTTCCTGGGGCTGGGGGGGCGCCCCCCGCGGGCCTGCGCCCCGGAGCCTGCCCCCCGAGTCCCGCAGCGGAGCCTGATGGCCGCCCCTGACGCCGCCGACAGCTTCTCCCCCGCGGGCTCAGGGGCCGGCGGTCACGGGGCGCGCGTGGCGCCGAGACGGGGAGCCACAGGCTTTCCGGGGAGCCCCGGGCGGGCGGGCGAGGCTTCCCGTGCCGCGCTGGCACCCGGGCGGAGGCGAGGGGCGAAGCTGAGCGCGCGGACTCTCCTCGAGGCCGCGGCCGGGGAGTCCACAGCCGAGCAGTGAGGGCGCCCCGGGGGCTCCGAGCTCCCCCTGCCCCGGACGCCGCTGCCCGGGACGCCCCCTTCCCCGTGACACCCCCCATGACGCCCCCTGTCCCGGGACGCCCCCTGCCCCGTGACACCCCCCGTGACGCCCCCTGCCCCGGACGCCCCCTGCCCGTGACACCCCCTTTCCGGAGACGCCCCCTGCCTGTGAAGGCGCGTCCCGCCCACTGCGCGCCTGGGAGGAGCCGCGGGCTCCCCGGCAGGTGGAGGCGGGGGGGGGGGGAGTAGGGGGGAGTTGGGGGGCGCCAGTGGCCACGCCTCGTGCGGGGCGCCCCCGGGCCCCCGGGCAGCCTTGAGGCGCCGTTTGGCGCGTTCTTGCTCTTGCGGGCGGGGGGAGCCTCCGGCCTCCGCCCCCGCGCCTCGTGGCCGGCGCGGCCCCGGCTGCGTGGACGTGGCGTCTCGGGGCGCGGAGCCCGGGCCCCGCCGGCCCCCAGGACCCTCCTCCGCGGGGAGCGGGCGCTGCTGCTTGTGGAGGCCGTGGCGGGCACCCGCGGCGGGCGTGTCCCCTGCTGGCCGGTCCCGCGCGGCGTCCGCTCCCTGCTGCCGTCGGTGCCCTCGGCTGCCGCCCGCGCCCGGGGCTCGGAGGGCAGGTGCCGGCCGGGTGCCCGCCAGGGTGCGGCGGCCTCCGGGGCCGGCGAGCGGGGGCAGCCGGGCTCCCCAGCGCCCAGCGCGCTGCCCCGGCCCCCGCGCCCGGCCCCTGTGCCCCACGGGTGTCGCCGCCGGCAGCCGGTCAGCCGGGCGCGCAGAGCCGGCGGGGCTGCAGCCTGGACGGGCGCCGCGCCCGAGGACTCCCGGAGCCTCGCGGACAGCGCCGGACACGGGACCGGCAGGCGGGGGGTTCGGGGCGCTGCGGCGCGGGGGGGCCCCCAGCGTCCAGGAGCAGAGCCGCCGCGCCCGGGTGCTGTTCCCCGCCGCGCCCCCGCGCCCCCGGGCGTCCACGAGCCCAGACCTGGGGGCGCTTCAGCGGCGGTGCCCGCCCCGCGGGGCGCCTCAGGGACGCGGGCGCCGCCGGGGCTCGAAGCCAGGCGGGTGCTCCGGGGTCCGCGGGCCGCGCCTGGGCTCCGCCGGGCTCCCCTGGGCTCCGCCGGGCTCCCCTGGGCTCCCCTGGGCTCCGCCGGGCTCCCCTGGGCTCCCCTGGGCTCCGCCGGGCTCCCCTGGGCTCCCCTGGGCTCCGCCGGGCGGGCGGGCGGGCGGGCGGCCCTCGCGGCCGAGGCGGGGCGGGCGCCACCTGGTGGCGGCGCGGCGCGCGGCGCCCGACCCCGGGCCTCCCTCCTCCGGCCGGACGCGAGTGACCGCGCGGGCTGGGCCGGCTCCGCCCCGGCTTCTTGGTTCGCTCTTCGCGAGCGGCGTGTTTGTGTGAACACACGGGACTGGGGCTCGTGTTTCCAGACACGCGAGAGCCCGGCTGTGCGTGGTCGCGGCCGCCCCCGCCGCCCCGGGCCGAGGCGCCGCCCCCGCGCCCCCCGCGCCCCCCCCAGGCGCGCGAGGCCCTGCCCCGCGGTGGCCGCTGCCCCGGTGCGACGGGCGTCCCGCCTCCCTCAGGCCGGGCCGCGTGGTCCCCTTGAACGAGTTTTCCAATTTCTGCCTCGCCCGGGTTTCCCCACGGAGACGCGACGCGCGCTCTCGGGCTCGGGCAGGGCCGGGGCGGCCGCCGCTGCCCGCCCCGTCCCCGAGGCAGGCGGGACTCGGTCCAGAAACACCGCCCGGGGCGGTGGTCACGGCTGAGCCCCGGGACCGCCGGGGGTGAGTTCTCGAGGGGGGCAGACCGCCTTTCCCCGAACCCCCGGTGACGGAGGCGTCAGGCGAGCCTTTAAGATGTTGACTTTGCCCTTGAGCAGTAAAGAGTTTTTTGAAAAATGTTCCTCCGGTGCTTAAACCTGACGCTTTTTCTCCTGTAGGTGGCTCGTTTGTTCAGGTAGAAACCCCGCGTTTAACTTGGAAGTGCTTCTGCAGCAGTCAAGACGTCGCCTCTCGTGTAGGATATTTACTTATTTTTCTTTTAACAAAAGTAAGTCGCCGTTTTGCCAGTCACTCGTCCTAGCAGCCCAGCTACCCGCATCAGAGCCGAGGCTCTGTCCAGCGCGGAGGCCGAGCGCGGGCCGCGAGGAGAGTCGCGCTCGTGTGTGAGGATCTGCAAACGCGTCGTTCGTGCTGCCGGTTCCTCGTCACCCAGACGTCCTGATCCTCCTCGTGGTGCGGCTCTCAGGCCGCCTGCTGCCGTGGGCGCGAGCCCCCTCTCCGGCCGTGGGCCTGGCGCTCCCAGCCTCTCCCGGCCCGTCTGCCTTGGCTCTGGGGAAGCCATGTCTGACCCCAGGTGACCGGGAAGTGAGAGGGGCTCCCCGCTCTGCCCGGCGCCGTGGGGCGGTCCCCTCCCTCCTGCAGCCGCGGGTCACCGGCGTCCTTCTCTGGAAGCCAGGCTTGTCCCCTCGTCCCTGCTCTGTTCCCTCTTCCCGGGAAGGCGGCTGGCAGGTCGCGCCCGCCCCGCTGTCCCAGCAGCTCCTTGGCTCCGCGCAGACACTCAGAGCTTGTGTAGCTGCAGCTGCTGTGGCTGTGATTTTCCGAAGTTTGCGGCTTCACATCCAAAGCTCCTTACGACGCTCCTCGTCCTGAGCAGAATCCCGAAGCCTCATGCCCCAGGCTGCACCCGGACGCGCTGGCGCAGCCGTGCAGACAGAGGCCGGCATTCCCCGGGACGCCCGACCGTGAGGCCGCCTCCCCGAGACCCGCCCGGCCTTTGTCCAGAGCGCTCGGTCCGAGCCGCGGGGATGCCTGCGGGGGTGTTGGGTGGCGGCGGCTGGCCTGTTCCACGTCGGAGGGTGTGAGGTGTCCGGGGACTCTCACCAAACCCTACCCTGTGACTTGGAGATGGAAGTAAACCCCAGGCCGTGGTGTGGACTGTGCTGGGTTCCTTTGAGCCTTGTCGAGTCCGAGTGTGGTCTGGTCCGACTCTGACTCCAAAGAGGTTCTGCAGAGCCCGGGCCGTGCTGGGCTGGGGCTGGCCTGCTCTGGGGGTCCTGCCTGAGGCCGGGTCAGGTTCTCGCTGAGGGTGCTCCAGAGCCTCTGTGCAGCCTTCCTGGAAGGGGCGCGTGCCAGCCCGTCCTCCCAGGCGGCTCTGGGTCAGGTTGGGGCTTGGAATCTGGCTCAGAGTCAGAGGGGCTCGGCGGGCAGGGTCTGGCCTGCGGCAGGCGGCCTGCATGGGGTCCTGTGTGGGCACTCCTGCTGGCCCGCGCCACTCACACCAGGGTGGCCAGTCCGCCAGGGCCATGTCCGCCGCTGCCCTTGGCCTGGCCGCGCTCCACGGGCTTTGAGAGCGGCTGGGGCTGCCCGCACCCTGTCCCTGCCGAGTGCCGGCGCGGCCGCTTGGTCGTGCTCTGTCCTGTCTGTTGTTCTGACGAGAAATGATAACTTCACGTCTCGCCTTTTGCATCCTCCAGGGGGACAGCCACTCTGCCACCACCGTGTTTCGGAAGAGGGGGCGCCGGCTGCGCTCTGCAACGGAGACTCGTGCCCCACGCCGGGAGGCACCCTGCCCGAGACGGCGCCCGCACTGGAGAGCGGCGGCAGAGACGCCTCCCGGAGACCCGAGCTGCCCAGGTTCCCTAAAGACCCGAGGACGCCCGTGCTGCCCCCCAGGCCAGAGGCCCCCGCTGACGCCCCTGCCAGGTCCCATCAGACTTTTCTGGAAGGAGCTGGCCTGCAACTCTCCTCAGAGGGCCAGGCCACCCCCCTGAAAGAGAAATCGTCTGATTTGCACAATAAGGATCCTCCTGGGGGAGGAAGAAAGGTGCCTGCCCCAGATCTGACCCCGCTGGACCTGAGCGAGAGGTCCACCCGGGACGCGCCCAGCCACAAGGAGCTGGCCTCCTCGCTGCAGGCTGCCCTGGCCGTCCACCCATGCCCTTACTGCAGCCACAAGACCCGCTACCCCGAGGTGCTCTGGATGCACGAGCGCGTGTGGCACCGGGTCAGCTGTGCCTCGGCGGCCCCGCCGTGGACCCTGCCCGACGGCCACAGGAGCATCAGGAACAGCTTGGTTTTCCTCGCTCGGAGCGGGCGCACTGGCCCCCACCGGCCCTCGGGGGCAAAGAGTGCCAGCCCCTGCCCATCGCCCGGTTCACCCGCACGCAGGTGCCGGGCGGGGCGCCGGGGCCCAAGGGCAGCGCCTCGGCCCCGGCCGTGACCACGAAGGCCGCTGGCATGCCTAAGAGCAAGGAGGGCCAACTTGGGGCGGCCTGTGCACTCTGGGTGGCCGGCCCTGACGGTCCCCGGCAGACCAGACCCAGCCCTGGCCCCGAGCTGCCCCCCTCCAAACCCAAGCCCGAGGCCAGCCCCAGGCCGGGGTCCGTGGCGGGTGGCAGCTTCGGCAGAGGTGCGGCCCCCACGCCCACTGTCATCGCGCGGGCTGGCTCCCAGCCCCCGGCCAGCAGCAGGCCGGGGGAGAAGTACATCGTCGCCCCTGCAGGGGCCGGCCACGGGCCCTCGCATAAGCACAGTGCCCCGGACCCCCTGAAAGCCAAATTCAGCCCTCAGCCTCAGGGTCAGCCACATGTAAAAGGCAACGGGGGTCCCCCTCTACCTCCCCGGGAGCCCCCCTCTAAGACGGGCCAGGAGCTGCGGCCGCCGGCCAGCTGCGGGGCGGGCTCCCGGGGGAAGGGCTCCGCGCAGCCCCAGCCGGTGCTGCACACCGCCGCGCAGGAGCCGGCGGCCGAGGGCCACGAGAAGCGCCTGGACATCCTCAATATCTTTAAGACTTACATTCCAAAGGACTTTGCCACCCTCTACCAGAGCTGGGGGGCCAGCGGCCCTGCCCTGGAGCACAGAGGTAAGCCGCGCGTGCAGGCCCTGGCGGGCCCCGCGGGACCGCTGCTCACCGGTCGCTGCCGCCGTGCGCCGCGTGTCTGGGCAGCCGCCCCTAACCGCTCCCTGTGACCGCCTGGGGGCGCTGGGCCAGGGCCTCGCACCTGCCCCTGCACCGCGAGCAGAGAGCAGGTGCCTCGTGGTGCCTCTAGAGAACCCTGATCGTCGAGCCTTGTCTCTGGAAGGACAAGGGTGTTCGCCGGAGGTGATGGGCTTATGCCTACACCCAGCACTGAAAAGACCTGCCGTGTGCCAGCGAGAGGGGGCAGAGCCTCGTGGAGGGGGTGTGCGGGGGCCAGGGCCTTCCCGGCGCCCGCCCTCCTGCTGCTCGCGGGCGGGGTTGCAGCGCCTGCGGTGCCCGCAGGTGCCGGCGGCGTCCCGGGCAGCTTGCTCTGGAGTAGAGACGCGGGAGGCTTTCCCTTGACCCCAGGTGTCCCGGGAAGCGACGTTTCTCCTATCGAGAGAGCAGACAAACAGCGACGGGGCGCTGGCTGGGGGCCCTACCCTCCGGAGAGACGCGCATGCCGGAAGCAGGTGTCCCTTTAAGATAACGCTGGAGCTCCAGCCCCTAAAATTCTGAGGAAGTCGGGGCACTTCTGGGGGTGTGGCAGAAACTCCCATCGCCCGGGAGACCCCTGAGTCCTCCGTGGGGAGGCCGGGCTACGTGGGCCACGCGGGCTGGTGGGTCATGCCGGGTGCCTGGTTTTCTCCTGTGGCTCTGGGGCGTTCGGGAACTGCCTGGGCCTGGGCGCATGCTCAGTTCAGGATGGACAGATGATGCCAAACAGGATGACCAGGTGTGCTGCCACCCGGCACTCTTGCCTCCGGGCCCCTTCCTGACCCCTGCGTCCTGCCTCTTGGCCTTGTGATCTTGGGGTGACGGTGCCTGGGCGCCCTGAGGGTTTTGCGAGCTTTGTGCTCGAGTACTGGTAAGAGCTCACGTATTAACCCTCTTGTTCTCTGGGAGGCAGAGGCGTCCTGCCGGGCACAGGGGACATGGTGGGCATGCTGCTGCAGGCTCCGGAGCCGCCGCGCCTCCGGTGGCAGCCCTGGGAACCATGCAGCCAGGTGGCTGTTGCCTGCCGGGCAGAGGATGTGCTGGGGAGTGGCCGGAGCCTGTGGGCCCTTCATGTTTCATGAAACTCCTTCACCTTGTGTTTCCTTGGGCCTGAAAGCAGAGCAGCTGAGGACAGAGGTGCCTGGTCAGCAGTCAGTGCCCCTGCACCCCTTGCCCTGGAGGCCAGGCTGTGCTGGGCCTGGGGCTCCTGTCCATGTTGGTGTTGAGTGACCCTTGGCCTGCAGGACACACCCCACCTGCCGGCCCACAGGGGTGCTGAGGCCACGCCTCAGAGGCCCTGGCGCTGCCCGCGGCCTGCGCTGCCAGGGCTTTTCTCCCCCGAAGAGCAGGAGTGTTTGAGTTAAGGTCCTGGAGCTGCGGGTCGCAGTACTGGAGGGGCACAGTGGCCTTCAACTTAAGGATCCTTCCCTTGCTTTTAAATGGGCCTCAGGATTTTGTTTTTCGGAGCGAGGTCAAATGTGAACCGTCTCGGCCACCATGACACACATGGTGTGGCTGCTCCCCACAGCTGCTGACAGGCTTGGCGGCCGCCTGTGGCAGGCCTGGGTGTGCTGCCCTGACGGGCTCTGGGGCAGTCCCGGGGCTCTGGGCCACACCCGCATGTGCATGCATTTTAGGACCACACTCCTGAGCTAGGGAAGAGCCTGTCTCCAGCCTCGATGGCAACGCAGCTTGGGGCTTGGGTGGGGAAGGCTGCCCTGGCCCTCACCCCCTCTCTCTAATGCATGTCCACCATTTGCCTGCTGGTCCTGACTTTGGGGCCCCCGAGCAAGCCGAGGCATCCTCTGCTGCCCCTGGCCCCCTTCTCATCGGGTGCTGACCATCGCTGGCCGCCGTGGCTGTGCTGGTCATTGTGTGCCCGCCATGCACCGCTGCTCCCGGCTCCGTGGTGGGTGCAGACCTGAGCCTCACAGGGTTCCTTCTGCCCAGACAGGCCTCTCTGGCTCGTAGGAAGGGGCCTGTTTGGATGGGACCCGCTGGCTGGGTGACCTCTGGAGGTGTCACCTGCAGCCCTGGGAGCCGGTGGGGCCTGAGGTTGGCAGGGAGGCAGAGCTGCAGGGGTGCCCCAGGGGAGACGCCACAGCTGTGGTTGATGGGGCTGTGTCCACTGTGACGGGACAGGGGATGGGCAGGGCCTCTGAGTCTCGCTGCTTGTCAGAAAGCAAGACGATAGTAACCCCAGGTCTGCCACATGGTGCTTGGCTTGGGCTGGTGTGGGCGCTCGGTTTGTCGGTTTGGGGCTAGCTGGAGACCCCAGCGGGGGAGGGCAGGCGCGCCAGCAGACGCGTGAGGGGCGCATCCTCCGTGGGCAGATGCCAGAGGCCAGAGGCCGGTGACCAGCTCTGTTGGGGGCGGGGGGCGGCTCTGCAGGTCGCCCGTGCGACCGCCCGCCCTGCAGGGGCTGCGCTGGGAAGGGCCGTGCGCGGGGCCGTGCTGCGGTCTCTGTCGGGGTTTCTCGGCGCACGCTGGGTGCTGGCGCCTCCTCCGCAGGAGTCAGCAGCGGCTGACCAGCACGAGCCCAGAGCCTCGCCCGCGATCGCCCCGCCACACACCGCGTGCGTCTAACGGCCCCTCCGCAACGCCGCGCCCCGCGGGTCTCCCTCAGCTGCAGGGTACGGGTGGCCGCTGGCCTCCGTGCGAGCCCCAGAGTGGCTCTTTCTAGACTGACACAGGCTCTGCCTGCCAGGGCCGAGCGCCTCAAGGAGTGGCTGGCCTCAGAGGCCCGGCTGGCTGAGGGTTTCCGCGGGGGCTGGTGCTCGTGTCCGCGGGACCTGCTGTCCGGTGGGGTTTGGCCCGGAGGTAGGGCGGCGTCCTCCCGGGGCGCCTCTTCCCTGGCGAGGGTGTCCAGCCTCGGGGCTGCTTGTCGGTCACGCCTGTCGGCGGGGCGGTGACTCGGCGCCCGAAGGAGCGGAGGCGCGGGAGTCGAGGGCGCCTGCCGCCGGACACCCTTTGTCGTGGGTTAGCTCCATTTGCTCTGCGTCGGTGTCGTGCATCGTTAGAAGAAATTCGTTTGAAAATAACACGCTGAAATAGGGGCGTTCTGACCATGCTGGCTAGAGGGGAGCTGGCAGGGGTGTGTGGGGCTCCGTTTCTTCTGTTAACTGGTTAAACGTTAGGAAAGAAGTTAGAACCAGAGGACCCCCGCCCCCCCGAATCTAAAAGACGGGACCAACTTTTGCTGAAATTTGAAACCTGGTGTCGTGATTTGTTTGGATTCCTAGCCCAAACGTAAAGGCCACGATGAATAGTTTATTTTCTGTTATTCAAAGTGTTATTTTAAAATAGTCGAGCTGGAGACGCCGTGCCATGGATGAGAGTGGCAGGACCCGGGAAGACGGAGGCAGCCTCGCTGTCTTGTCCGTGGCTCTGGGTGTCTGTGCAGGCGACGGGTCGGTGCTGGGGCGCGCGGGTGCACCCCTCACGCTGCATTTTTCCGCCCTCAGCATCACAGATCAGACCTCAAAATCCAGCTCGTCTCTCAGCAGTCTCTTGTTCTTGAAAGCAAACATCTTAAAATGCATTACCTGTTTCTCCAAGTGCAACTCATGGCGCGGCGGCCCGGCGGCCCCTGGTGACGTCCCGGCATGGCCGCGGGCCGGGCCTGCTGCGGCTGGCGGGGGGCGTGTGAGTCGTGGGCGTGTGTGAACTCCCGGGGCGGGCGCCCACTTGAGACTGGGGTCTCCCCGGGGATGGAGGCCTCGGCGTGGGTGCCCTCGAGCCCCGGGGACGACACCCCCTCCTCACAGAGGAGAAAGGGGCGGCGTAAACGCAGAGGGCCCAGAGGGCAGTGACCCCGGGACGCGGAAATGCAAAATGAAGAAAATACTTCTTCACGCAGCGCTGCCAGCCCTGGGTTCCCACAGCTGCAGGAAAGAAAAGGCACGTTTTCTAGCGGCTCTGCTCTTCCTGACGACGCTTTCTCTGTAGAGCAAGAAAACAACTTGTCCGCTCCACATTTCACGTCCACCTCCTCTGTGGCCGCGAGCCCTTCCTCGTAGCCGCACCCCCCTCGCCTGCCTTCTTGGACGCTTCACTCGTTCCTTGAAATCCCGTGGGGCGGCCGTGAAGCCTGATAATCCGCTGGCCCGTGAGTCGGGAAGAGAAGCCGCTGTCCTAGAGCGGCGCTGGGGACATGTCCTTGCGGTGGTAACAAGATGCCGGGCGGCTGTGCTCTGGCTTTATGGATGAGGCGTCGCTGTCTGACCTGCCGGGTTTACGGGCTGAGGACAAGACAGGCGCGACTCACGTGAACCCGCTGACCTCAGCTGCAGGCCCTGCGGGGGAGGCCGACCCGGCTACTCGGGTTTTGTTGTCTTTCCGAGAGTCACAGGCTTTTTGACTCCTGCAGTTTAGAACTTTAGGCTTTTGGTGGGAGCGGCCACCTCCTGCTGCTCTGGCTGGGGGTGTGCTCTGTCCAGTCCCGAGGCGGGTCCCCAGGGAGGGCCCCCGGGGAAATACCTGGGACGGGGTCTGAGGAGTCGCCGTCCCGATGCCCTCCGCAGCGCCAGCACCAGGCGGGGAGCGCCTGCTTCTCTCTTCATGGACAGAGGCCCTGACCCTTCCTCCAGCGTCTCTAAAACCTGCTCCCCAGGAACCTGAGCCCCAAATCCTGTGCAAAATGCAAAATGTCTGCCCTGATTTGCTGCCTGAGACTCGCCGTCTGGATGGCGCTTGGTCTGCCTGCCCGCGGCCCGCGCCGCCACTGCCCGGGCTCTGATGCCGCAGGTGTCCGCGGCACGGTCAGCCACATAGGGCCTTTCCTGAAACGTGAGCGGGGTGGGGGGAGGACGCGATCCCCACATCCCGGCCCGTCCTCCTCCGGCTCCCAGTGGCTGGGCTGGAATCTGGGGCACAGAGGGGCTGCGTCTGCACAAGCACGTCCGCTCCGTCGGCCCGCCGGGACGGCAGCTGCAGGTCGGCACAGCTAAGATGAGTCTCGCCCATTTTGTCTCCAGATTACAAGCCTTGTAGTCAGACAGCGACGCTTCCAACGCGTCCCCGGGAAGGCGCGGCCGCAGGCCCACGTTCACTCTCGCCCACGTTCACTCTCCCTCCGCTGCACCTGCCCGCCCCTGCCCCGCGCGCTCAGAATCCAGGCGAGGCCAGTGCAGCTCTGACTGGCCGCGAGGGCAGTGCCCCTTGTTGTCGGCAAGGCGCTGGGCGCAGCCTTGCTGTGGAGCTGGCGTCCTCTTGTACGTGGCTCTGCCCCAGGGACTTGCCTTTCTCAGCCTCCCCCCAGCTCGCCAGCTTAGCGTCTTCTCCAGCGCGACACCGGCCTGCTCGGGGGTGGGGGGCGGTGGCGCTGGTGCAGGCAGGGCCCGAGTCCCTGCGGGCCCAGAGCCCCAAGCCTGGGCCGGCCCAGGGCCCGCTCCCGAGGCCGCTGCCTGTGCTCTTGGGGGTGGGTGAGAAAACACGAAAGCGTCTTTGGAAACCGAAAGGCAGAAATGAGCTTCTCTGTGCTTCTCTCCCTTTCTCGTCCAGGGGAGAGACCGTTCTAACGCGGACGCCGTCCAGACAGTGCCTCTCAGAAAGGGACCCTGAAGTCGTCTCCACCGGACCCCAGCGCCCGGGCAGCCGGCCCCTCACGCCATCCCTCCGCCCCCGCCGGACCCGACCCGAGGAGGACCGCCGCGGGGAGCACTCCCGCCCGCCCTGCACTCCGAGCCGGGCGGGGGTGGGAGCCGGAGGGAGGAGCCTCTCCTGGGCACGCGTTTAAACTCACGAAGACGCTTCTCTCTGGAGTCGCACAGAGAGTCTGTGCGCGTGGCCGTGCTCGCCCGCGGCCTGTGTTTTCCATAATAAACAGCGGTTCTGGCACAGGACGGGCACGAGGCATCTGCTTTGTTCAAGAAGAGTTTGAGACACTGGAAAAAGCCACGTGTGTGGAAGGGCGGAGTGGAGAAGCTAAGCACTGTAGCGGCCGCCCTGGCCGGACGGCGCCACGCCGGGACAGACGGGGCAGCGGGGTGGGTGCAGCCGCGGCCTCCCGGGGCTCCTGGGCATGTAGCGCAGCGATGCAGGGGAGGAGGGCGGCCCCGGGCGCGGCTCGGAGGGCCCGGCCCTGGCCTCCCTGGTGCGCCCTTGGGGCCGCCGCGCGGCCCACGCACCCCTTGCGCTGGCGTGGGTGCTGAAGCGCCGCAGAGGACACACGGGATGCGCCGGCCGAGCACTCGCAAGCGGCCTCCTTGTTTACTCTCAGGGCCTCTCTGCGGCAGGGAGCTCCGGGGCATCCCGCGAACTGCCCACCCCGGGAGACGCGCGTCCTAGCAGGTCACTAGCCCACCCCAACGGGCGTGGTAGCCACGCAGAAGAGTCCCGGAGCAGGCGCGCGGGCCTAGACACCCGACGCCGGTGCTCTGGCACAGTCGCGCGCCCTGCCCTTGCTCCATCGCCCCCGGGCCCCCGCGAGCAGTCTCTCCTCTGCCCGGGCTGGTGCCCTCCGCGGGGCCTCTGTCCCCAGAGCCGGTGGCCACCAGGCCGTGGGCGGGGGCTCGATATACCTCTTCCTCGGTCACGCAAATGCAAGTCTGCGGTGGGGTGGAGGGCCGGCGCCGGGGCTGGACACCGCACGGTCTCGTGTGGAGACGGTTCCGCAGCCGGAAGCCTGCTTCTCCCGGTGCCGTGACCTGTGGGCTGGTCTTTCTGAGAGTTTCAGAGTTTTGCACATATGATTTTATGCATTATCGAAAGTTACTGCTGCCTTGAATGAAAACCTTCTGTGAAATTTTTTGCAAAAGCTTTACTAGGTTTTTTTTTTTTTAATTGTGAAATTTTGTAAAGGCAGGAAATGGATTCAACGAGCATGCGAAATATATTTTTCAAAAAAAGCAATAATTTTACATGTACAGAAATTATCCTAACCTTTAATACCGGTGAGAGCGACAGTTTACTTAATATAGAATTGGAATAGTGCAGTTTTTGTAGAAAACGGGCTTCTGATACAAAGACTTGTTTAAACACCCCCCACCCCTACAGCTGGTTCCCCTGTTCTAATGATTTGTTGAATTATATTATTATCATTGTTGTTAGTTGATGTCTGGTTGTTACTGAGTGGGAATTACTTGACGGTGCACAGGCCCTTGCAGCCCCCGGACGAGGCAGTGTAACTTGCCGGCTCATACGTACCCGCACCTATCCGCGTCTGTACACGTGTGCACGTGCATGTGTGTCTACGTATCACTTCTGACTTGTTTCCCCGATACTCTTGCACTGGATTTGTGGCAGGATGGCCCGTCCTGGGTGTGACTCGATGTCCCCCAGATCCTGTTCATGGGTGCACTTGAGTCTTCTGTGGCGTCGTCTGGCGCCGGCACAGACACACAGTCCTCTGCTTCCCACGACACCAGGACGCCTGGCGGACTCGCGTGCGAGCGTTTCGCGGGTGTCCCCTCGTCCTCATTTCTGCATTTCCTGACTTTTATTTTCTTGGCCGAAAGTGAACGCACAGTTCAGGGTCACAGAGGGGCTGGCGATCCCGTCCCTTCCGTCGCTCTGCGTTTTAGTTATTAAAAGCAATTCTGTACCCAAAGTGACACAGAGGTGGCGTGTCCCTTCTTCCCGGCCGGGGCGCCTCCCGCAGCCCGCGGGCACTCCAGCCGCGAGGTGTTTCTGGTCGGGGTGCGCCGGCCCGGCAGGGCCTGCCCCCAGTCAGGTTAGAGGAGGAAGTGCTGAAGGGTCAGGGTGCTCAGTGAGCAGACCGGGGCCCCCCGAGACCCCCCCCCGCTGTGGCCGCTCCACGGAGCATCAGTATTGTATTGGTTTGTTAATGCATTTATGTCAGTTCGACCATAGTATTTAATATGATTTGTATTTTCTTATTTATTTAGCCAGTATGTTTTGATTTGCTTTTTTCCATATAATTTCGGATAATCTCCACGTGATCTGTCCTGTACGTCGCCTCTGGCCGTCGCGCAGTCTCTACTACCTCTACCGCCCTGCTGTCCCTGTGTCCTGACCGGAGTCCTGCAGTGTTGCTGTCTCATGTAGCTCAGACAATAAAGGGTTCGGTCGTCTGCACCGCAGCTTCTCGGTCCCCGCCCTGCTGCCCCCCAACCCCAGCATCTGCCCCTCCGCCCCGCCCCTCCTCCCGCTCGCGGCTCTTTCTCCTTGTTGGATTCACATAACACACAGGTAATGAGCTTATACGGATCTTTCAGGTTATTCACTCATATTCCTTAACTTGAAGAATGAACGTGTAGTAGCTTGGAGCGGTCTGCAGCACCTTGTCTGGGCGGCGGCCGCCCCGGCCCCCACCGGGTCCCCAGGAGGCCCAGGAGGCACCGGGCAGCTGGCAGGGCTCATGGCCCAGCCCGCTGGGCTTTGCCTTCTGTGCTTTGGAAAAGTGCTGAATGCTTTGAGCGGCTCCCTCACATTGGCTTATTTCCTCTTTAAACCAAGAACAACGCTGGTTTACTGCAAAGGCGTCGGCAGGCCCAGGGGCTGCACCCCGGCCCTTGGCTTGCTCAGGGCCAGCCCTCCGGCCCCGCTGCCGTCACTGGAAGGGCTCTGCAGGCCTCGGCCTAAGGCTCGGCCAGCGCCATGTGGTGACTCGCTGCCTTTGGGGTGGAGCCTGGAGCAAACCTCTCAGTGACTCAGGTGGGTCCCTTTCCCCGTAAGCAGGAAGGGGTCCGTCCTACTCCAGGGGAGCTGGCTGTAGGGGGTGCCATCTCCAGAAGGGGGGCGCCATGGGTGCCTGTCCAGCAGGGTCCTGACGGCAGGGTCCCGCAGGGTTTCCACGGGCAGATAACCCTCCGCACCACTCCTGCCCTGAAACAAGACAAATGACCCCCGCGCTCGCCCCCACCCCAAAGGTTTTGCGATGGACAACAAGGAAGGCTCCGTTTGTAGAACTTCTGCTTGCAAAACACTCACGAGTCTGCAGAGGCGGCGGTGGTTGCACTGCTTCTGACTTTGGGGAAATCTCGTCACTGAATGTTTTACTCACCGCGCAAAACAAGAAAAGAGAGAGAAACCTCCTGGGCGGGACATGGGCGGTGCCGGAGCCGGAGCCGCCGAGGCCGGACGTTCATTCTTCACCAACTTTGCTAATTATACTCTGAGGCCGTAAAATGCAAAAAGACCATAGAATTTGTATTTCTTTTTTAAAAATACAATTTATAACATTATATTTTGTACTCTTTATATTAGAATTTGTAACTAGATTGATGTATTTAACTATTTCTGAAAAAGAATTCAATGTTTCAGCTGTGTGATAAAAATATTTAGATAAAACATATTCTATTGGACTTGAAATCAATAAAGGACATCTTGCCGTTCTTGACATTTGTCCGAGCTTTTTCCCGCGTGGGAAGGTGGCTGCCCCGCCGGCCGGGCCTGTCCTCCTCGCTGGCTGAGTGCGAGCAGCCCGCCGGCTCTCGCTCCCGCAGGGCGTTTTGGGTGAGGCCGGAGCCGCCCATCTGAGGGGGTGCCGGGGCTCTGAACCCCTTTCCAGTCCTTGTGGGGCCCAGGACGCTCTAAATTGGAAGGTGACCCCCCCCTGCACCCGCGGGCCCAGCGCCGCCCTCCCGGGTGGCAGCCAGGCCGGGCGCGGCCTGTGCCGAGGGACGCGCACACCCCTGGGCAGGCCGGGGGGCGTGGGCGCCGACGCGCGGGGGACGGGCGCGCCCTAACAGCGCCACGTCCGGGTGTTTTCCAGTAAAACGCAGCTCGGCTGGCCGCAGGACGGGGCGGGGGGCGCGCTGGATGCGGCTCGCGGCGCAGAGGGGGAGCCGGGGTGGGCCTGGAGCCCCCGCCCGGCCGGGCGCCCCCCAGGAGACAGGCCCGAGGTCCTCACTGGGCCGGCTGCAGGCCAGGCCGGGGGGCGGCGGGAGGGAGGTGGGCCGGGGCTCCGTTTCCTCCTGGGGCGCTTCTGGCGGGAGGCGCCTGCCGGGAAGGGGCGCACTCGAGGCCGCGGCCCGCAGCTGACGCGTGGACGGACCCCGAGCCCGGCCCAGCCGTCCCGACCCGCGCTGACCCTCCCGAGTCGCCGCTGCGCGCGTGCGGGCGGCCGGGCAGCGCTGGGAGCCGGGCCGGGCCGGAGGCCGACGCGTCGCGCTCGGGTCTCGGGTCTGGCCGGCACCGCAGGCCGCGCCCCGCGGCGCACGCCGGGCCGGGCCGCGCGACGGGCGCTCCGTGTGCACAGCCCCGCCAGCCAGCCCGGGCCGTCGCTGGGCCCCAGGACGATCGGCATTTTGTAGCAATAAAGTCTTTTTATTTGTTGATGTATTTGTGTATGTATGTATTTATAAGATTTATTTATTTATGCACACAAGACTGGGCACAGGCCAGAGGTGCAGGGGGTGAGAAGATTCACCAGAGACAGAGTGGGGAGCAGAACAGGCGGAGTGACTGAAATCCACTGCTGAGGGGAGCAGCGGGGAGACAGGAGAGGTCTGCCGGGCCGTGTGGGTAGCTCCCTGGCTGGGGATCAAACTTGTGCTGCAGAGGCTGCCGACAGCCTCATAGGCTGCACCTCAACCCCTTGCGTCACCAGGGAGGCCCCTAAAGTATTTTTAAATGAAGGTGGCAAGCCGCTGTTTAGACAGGATGCCGCTCCACTCCTGCGGTATAAGGGGGCGTGCCCTGGGACCCCAGCATCACTGGAGGGGCTGGACACCAGTCTCGCTTCGCTTCAGGGGGTGCCCCCCCCCCCGCGGGGTCTTAGAGGTGCCCTGTGAGGCACTGAGGACTCACTGCGTCAGGACCTACTCCGCCCCCCCCCCCATCCCACTGTAGGCAAACAGCTGAAGTGCAGGCCCCCTGGACCCTCGGGGCTCCCGAGGTCACGTTAGAGGGCGGATCTTCAGGAGCTCAGCAGAGTTGGTGGGAGCAGCCGGGGGAGCCTGTTCTTTGCTGCCCAACAGGGGTCTGGCCTCCTGACCGCCAGCAATGCCCATGGCCAGGGGGCCCTCGGGTTGGGCGTCTGCAGGAACCTGGCAGCAGGCCAGCGCAGCTCAGCGCCTGGGGGGCACGGAGAAGAGCGAGCCTGAGGTTACCATGCCTGC